TTGCGTATATGCATCAAAGATAGGTCTAAAGGCTAAAGTAAATGAACAATAATACCCATGTCATTCTTATTCACCTCGTATTTTTATGCACATAGTATGCTATCACAACAATGCTAGCTCGTGGACGCTGCTATATGGACATTCTAGTGATCAGGCCGTCAAAGTCGCGTCTGTGTTCTTCAACATCCACCGCTTTATACATTGAGTCATAAAGATCTCAAATCAGTCCTCGAATTCGAAAAAGACATTGTTATTTATAAGTACACTGTATGGGATAGAGTACACTGTCTGGTGCGGGATAGGAGCAAATGCGAATCAGAATATTTCACAAAATGGATTTTGGGGTCATGTAGATGTTTGATACAGTAACTCATGAGTGCTCACCACCTGTGCCTCACTCAAGGTACTTTTTTGTTGAGTGGTATATGTGAAGGGTGTTTGGAGGCGCTGGAGTGTGTCTTCGGATTACTGTATCACATTTTCACTGAAATTTAAAAGCCGTCTTGTGAAAATTTTATCCATAGCCCTTGTCATTCAATTTCTAAGACTTCCATTTCATGCAAAAAGATAGGACGGTCTATCACAATACTCTCCGGAAAATATTATTGTAACTGACGATTTCATTGAAAAAATGATTAAAATATCTCGGTATAAAGGTATCTCGGCCAAGATTGTATTCAGTCAACGTTTCGGCGTTGTCGCCTTCGTCAGAATCTGGAAGCCAAAAAGTAATTGATATACATCCGATTCAAACAACACTTCAGACTTCAGCTAGCTCACGTATAACCTACAGATATCTAACAAGCTCTCGTAAACCACAACAGGGGAACCCACCTTAGAAATAGAGAGGATGACATGTAGAACATCTTTTAAACTGCCTACTCAAACGTTTTCGCAGTGGGTGGGCCCCGGGTGACCTGTCTCTCGACTAGAAGCCGGTGGCAGTTGTAGCACACACAGGTCGATGAACGCGACGAGTTCACTTGTTATGGCCAGGCATAGTAACTGAAGAATTCATTAGAAAAAATCTTCATCAACAATCAAGAAATTGATATAGTAACTGTATAATTCTAAGCCTCTATCGCTACGCTCAACAATTTGATTTCGTAAGAATATTTACGGCTGGGTTGAAATTACTAGTTATTAAAGGTATAGAGTTTGTGAGTTTTCCTGGCACTCACTTGCAAAGCTTGATTCCTTATTGATACGAGGGAGAATAATTCACTCAGATAACAAATTGGTATTTCAACAACAATAACGTTTATCTGGTCAAATAAAGAAACCAAGTTTCTAAAAAGCCGAGGCAATAGAGGTAAATCATATTCAGTAAAAATGTACAAACATCAAAAACCATGATGAGAGCCATTATTCATGGTTTGCTCAACTCGAACGTCATCACGCTTCCCTCATGCTGTTCAAGCATTTCTGAAACTGCTTGCAAAGCCTCGTTGTTGCTAACGCTGGTGTAGAGCGCAGGCACGTCAAATGACTCGACAACACAATCGCATCGAAATCTGCAAGCACGTAAGCGATCCAAGAACTGTCCCGTATTCAAAAGATGTGATGGTATATGGACTAGGAGTTGACCGATGATTTTTTATTTATTCGCTCTCGTGAAGAGACGGACGGCTTTCGTGAAGAAGTCTGACCAACGCTGGCGGCCTTCCTGGAGTTCGTTTGACGTTCCGAGGGATCCAGTCAGTAACCGCCCTAATCCAACAGTCATCACTATATCGCATAACGTGGCCGACACCCATGATCTTCGATTTCTTGTCGTAATCAACGGCATCTCTGCTCTCCATTCGATGACGGAGCTCGGAATTCTGGATCCCCTTCTGCACTTGCGTTCTTAGGGAAACCTCGAGCATCGTCCTTTTCAAAGTCCTTCTCCTTTTGGGCAGCCCGTTTTGACCCTGAGATTTTAGCAGTCTCTCCCGTGTGTCCTTCCCAACGCTGCCGTATTGGGGGCTCCCTCAGGTTCAAGGGAATGAGGCCCATTTCTATTGCTGTTTTTGGCGTGTAGATACCCAACGTGCAGTTTGCCAGGCTCCGGGCGCGCGTCGAGTACGCTCTAGCCTTTCAACTACCTCTCCTTAGAAGTCCCGCCGTGTTTTCATTCTCAGTTGGTCCCTGAACTTTTGCAAACCGCATACAATTTTTAGTATTCTGTGCTGTATAGGTTTCGCAGTATTACGGAACATGTACAGAGCGGCTGTGGAGGTGTTCACCGGTAGCAAGGAGCGGGAAGAGTAACGAATCCATCAACATAACTGGTGACCTCTTGCCTTTCATCCCTCTCTGTGGGCTCTGAAGGTAGAGTCTGATACGTGTCACTTCACGATACTATTAAAGGGTTGTGATTGACCGGGCTGTCTCAATTGCTCTATGGTCTCTAAAGTTGAGCAATCTTTCGGTGTTGGTGGAATTGACGTAAGTGACTTGCGTGAATTTCTACTTAGTTGCAATTTCAGCGGTCCGAGTTGCAACTATAATAGTTAAGGACTCGTCTACGTCAAGCGTGTTAGGTAACACCCTAAAGTTTTGATGCGCTTTAAGGCATTTGAAAAAGACGAGTTTGTCGAAACGTCAGGCGAATGAAAACTCTAAATTAAAAAACCTGTGTGGCACAGAAGCATTGAATAACATAAGTTTAGATTACGATGTCAATTATTCAACAGATGGGAATGAAACTTTATTTCCTGCTGTCCATTCCCGAGATCAGAGATTACGAATACCCGCCGCTGAGTTCTCTATTCCTTCTTGTCATTCAATAACTCCTCATCAGTTTTTGATTTGAACTTGCGCTCCGTTCGATCAAGGCGTCGGCGGTCTATAATATCAAATAATAGCTCGCTATACTCAGAATAACTATGAAATTGTACATTAAAAAGAAAATTGCTTAACGTTGAGAAGGGAATTTTTTATTCAACTTCTCAGAAGTTGGAATAACTTCATATATAATCTCAAGAAGGGCGGCGTGGTCTAGAGGCATGTAGCACATTATCACACGCGCGGGCGCTGGTCGAATACTAGAGCGATGTTCGCCAAGGTTAACCGAGCCCTCTATCCCTCTGAGGTCGAATAATTGGTGCCAGTATGGGAGGAATGAAAGCCACTTGTGGCAGCACATTCCTACCGGAGTGATAACCTCTCGAACACTTTGCTCTTCAGGCTTTCACAGCCTCTAAAAGATCTAGGGCTATATTTATAGAGCGAATAGTTAGAATTACTGAAATTTCGTACTGGTGGAATTAAATAAAATATGTCGTGCACATGATTCTTCTGTAGAGACCATTGAGGAGCGGATGCGCTTATGTACGCTTATGTACTTAGTCTAGGCTATTCTAATGACCGGTCCTTTTGTCGCCACCTCTCCAGATTCCTGACAATAACTGTCTACAGCAGAACGAAGTGCTCGTTTATCTGTCAGGACTTGGATTAGAAATGGACCATGCATAATTTTCACATGGAAAAGAAACTATTCTGGCATATCCCTAGTAGGTGAGTAGTATGCATCACTTGGGTTCGATTTATTTTTAGGTTTAAAAGTTAACTTGATTTCAATTTCCAGCCCAAGACTCACGTTTCGCCAGCTTAGATCGATAAGCGTGGTCCGAATAGCATTGAACCTTGGTGAACATGACTTCAGGCTTATTAGGGCTCTTTTGAAGGTAATGTGAGATCAGCGTCTTCTGAAAAAAAACTGTTCAGTTTTAGACCCATCAATCAGAATAGCTTACAATATCTCAATTGTCTTCATAAGGAGGATGAACGGAAGAATGAAAATGCCTCTGTTTTCAAATTGAAGCTAGTCCATTCTCAAGAACTCAAGTCTCAAGTCTTTCTATACTTACACGGAAATCCTGCACACTTCTCAGATGCATGCGAGACATTCGAGGTGAAGCTCCCCTGCCCTAGAAATGCTTCTGAGGACTGCCCAGTCTAACTCACGACGTCGTTCCTAATTAGAAACTCATGTTTGGCTTGCCCCGTAGCCCTTCGGTTCATGTTCAGGAAGGAATGTCAACAATATTCAAAAAGATTACGATCTCCCTCAAGTGTTCAAAGTAGTAATTATTGACACCTGGGAGACGAAACTTACCTTTTTTGACTTCCCTTTGACGGCTGCTTTCGAATGAAGCCGTTGGGCATTCTTGGCTGCACTTCCGTTCCCACTCGATGCATACCAGAAAGTGGAGCCTCCTGAAGCACAGCTGATCGTCCCACAATGGCAAACCCTAATTAATTATTGGCTTTTTGCGTAAATGATAGATTTTCTCACTGAAGGTTGGGTAGAGATCGACGAGGACTCTTTTGTTTGCTGTGATTGGTTGATCACCGATACTATTGATCTTTTTGTACTGAAAAAGGTTAGCTTCGTCTCCAAAAAACAAAGAAGCAGGAGCAACAGCGAAACTGTTACCTTCACCTGCCTTATGAGGAAGACTACTATTGAGCTAGAAGCACTTCTCTGGAGTAACCCAC